TGGCCTCGGGCCAATGACATGGGGGGCCCAGGCCCCAGAACGTTTATAAAAAATGAATTAAAAATGTAATTTAAAAATAAAAATAATTAATTAATTAATTAATTAATTAGGTAATTAATTAACTTAATTAACTCTATTTAGTACCTAATTAACTTGATTAGTTAATTAAAAATGTTAATTAGTTGTTAGACTATGATAGAATGGCCCCACATGTAGTCGACCGAGTAAACAGCAGAGTTGACTACTGACGTCAGCATGATGTCATGCTGACGTCATCTTTTACTATTCTGGACAATGTTGAATTAAATAATTAAAATTCCAAAAATTAATAAAAACTTTAGAAAATCATTTTAATTAAACCGTAGCTCAGATCGAAAAACTTTGTACATGAAAGTTGCTCAGAACGACGAGACGAATTAGGATACGCAGCCCGTTCGTCCGCCACGCATCCCTAGCATAGTGAACACGCAACTTTCCCCCTTCGGTTCATCTGTCCGAAAACGCGAAACACCAGGGATACTTTCCCGGATGTTTCCCCCCTTCGCCGGTATCACCTCCTACCGCGTTAGGTCACACCCCGCACATCTTATTGCCATGTTATGCTTTGTGGTGCTATGTTGCTTTATATTTACTATTTCTTCCCCCTCTTATCTCCGGTAGACCCCGAGACCGATGTTACCCTAGTGATTGACTACTTCGACGACGACCCTTCTTCTCGCCCGAGCAACCAGGCAAGCAAACCCCCCTTGAGCATTCCGATATCGCCCATTTCTTTCCCTCTCATGCTTGCATTAGAATTGCTACTGCTTTCTATATGATCCTACTCTGATGCATAGCCTGTTGTTGTTACCTGCTCTCATACCTTATCTGCTTATCCTAAACTGCTTAGTATAGGTTGGTTAGTGATACATCAATGACCCCCACCTTATCCCAGTTGCCCCGCTTTATGTTCGATGACTCGATCAACATGATCGACGTCCAGGCCCCGACACCGCACATCACCCCCCTAGTTGTACGACTCTGCAGAGTTACCATCGAGTGCTGAGGGTGGAACCTCTTACATCACTCCTGATGAGATCTCCGTAGTGTAGCTTTACGGTCGAGGTCATCGAGGGTGATTTCCTCCTTAACCACTTCCGTTACGGCTCTGTCGTGCAACCCATCAAACGTGAACCTCGAGGGTGGATCCTCTTACGTTCACCTTGATGACAACATCGAGTGGAATTCACCGGGGGTGATTCCTCGGGTTTTCCCTTTGGTGTTAGACACACAGTTACTATGGTTACTATGACTTTACACTGAACCATGTTACTAAAGACGGGTCGACCCTGAGGGGGTACCCGTGCGAGCTTAATAGCGAGTGATGTGGAGTCGGGTTGACCTGGAAGGTACCCGCGAGATAATTACGAGGCGTGGCTGGGCATTCTTAGCCCTTGCCGCAAGTACTCGAGACGGGGCGACGGGGTCACATCGATCTTGAGTCTCTGCTCGTTACCGCGCGTTCCTAATCCACTATGATTTGGATATTTGATCCGAGGGGCCTTTGGACTGATAGCACTAACCATCACGTGGGCATAGTATGGGCGTTCTGTGTTGTATGCATCAGCCGAAATTTAATAGACGTCAGTGACTGAGCGGCGCGCGCCGGGTTGGACTGCGTAAGTTCCTGCCTTGTTGAAGGAGGTAGCTAGGTCTGCTCATCGTCCGCGTAGGCAACGTGCAGGAGTTCCCGGGGAGATGGCCCATGACCCCTGGGGGCATAGGTTTAGTCCGGTGTGCTGGCCTCTCTATTAAGCCTAGGTCGGGTTGTGGCATATTGTTTGGCCGAGGCCAGGCATGACCCAGGAAAGTGTGTCCGCCGGAGTTAATCGAGCGTGGTGGGTAAGTTGGTGCACCCCTGCAGGGAAGAAAACATCTATCGATAGCCTGTCCTACGGTAACGGACACTTGGAGTTGTATCCCGATCGATGCAACTAGAACTGGATACTTGTGATGAGAACTGGATGGTGATGAGAATTGGAATGTGTGGACACTTGGATAGTATGGCTCTGGGATTGCTTTCTCGCAGGGAGTCGAGAAAGGATCTCTGGCCGAGGTTGATAACAGTACTACTACTTTACTTTATGCTACTCTACTCCCTCCTGTTGCTGCAAGATGGTGGTTTCCAGAAGATGCTAGTCTTCGATAGGACTAGGCCTTCACTCTATTCTGGCATTTCTGCAGCCCAGTCCACATATACAACCCATTCCTTTGATACAGATGCATACTTAGTTTAGATCTGATGTAAGTCTTGCGAGTACTTTAGATGAGTACTCACGGTTGCTTTGCTACTTCTTTTTCCCTATACCTGATTGTTGCGACAAGATGACGGATCCCAGGAGCCAGACGACGCCACTGATGACTACTACTACCCGGAGGATGCCTACTACTACGTGAAGACTGCAGACGACTAGGAGTAGTTAGGAGGCTCCCACGCAGGGGGCCTTGCCTTTTCGATCGTTGCTGCTTTTGTGCTAGCCTTCTTAAGGCAACCTTATTTAACTCATGTCTGTACTCAGATATTGTTGCTTCCACTGACTCTTGTGTATTCGAGTTTATGTATTCGAGCCCTCGAGGCCCCTGGCTTGTAATATAAAGCTTGTGTTATTTTGATTTGTGTCTAGAGTTGTGTTGTGATATTTTCCCGTGAGTCCTTGATCTTGATCGTACACATTTACATGTATGATTAGTATACGATTGAATCGAGGGCGTCACAAGGAGGCGTCTACAGCGATGAAAGACGCAAGGGGATGGGTGGTGGCGGATACGGCAGAGGTGGTAAGAGGAAGGCCGCCAAACGTATAGAGCTCAACCGTGGCGGGTGCACGAGGGCAAGAAGCCAAGGAGCCATCAGTGTTGGGGGTTGGTGATAGCTCGTTGACGGAAAGATCAATGTCGTCATGGGAGGTACGACTAGGAAGGGTTGTGGGAGGAAAGGCATTGTTGGACACAGGATAGTTAGGGGAAGAGACGAGGCTCTAATTACCAAGAAGGATAGTAGACAATGTTCACCGTGTGTACTTAGTACAATGCCCACATGCAGGGGCATGGGAAAATAAGGGCGATATGTTACAGGATCGCATCACGAGACTAGGAGTAACTGTTGCAGCAAAAACTAGCCTATGTACATGTCGATGCAAATTCAACATTGTACTCTTATCACAACACAAACAAACATGACTAATCTTCAGCGAGTACATATCCTAATAGGACATAAAAAAATGCTCCTCGCGTCGCTCCCCAGGACGATGTCAAGGGGCAATACTAGCATTGCCAGAAGATCCCAACCCTGGTGTCTCCCCTACCATTGTTGTCACCTATGTCAGTCGCGGTGGTGGCGGGCGTGGCGCCGAAGGTGCCTAGGCAGTGCGGCTCTAGCGGTGCATGCGAGGAGATCGAGCACGTCGGCCAGGGCGTCCTCCCCTGGTTGTGCGGTGGCGGTTGTCATATCCATGCCCTGTCTCGGCGGTGGGTCGTGGATCTGATCCCCGCCCAGATCCGTCGTTGGTGTGGCTCTTGGTTGGTCGGTGACACGTAGAGGTGGCGGTGAGGGGATGCTAGAGTCTCGGGGCATTGTTTTAGAGCAGGTGGTGGCTAGAGGGTCCAGGAAGTGGGGCGGTGGTGCTTCTACCGCATCGACGATGGCGGGTCTCGGCGACGTATTCTTTTTATCGGGCTTTGTTGAATAATGTAATAAAAATGAGTGTGTGTATCATTGCTAATGCCTACTGAGGGTTTCCTCCTTTTAATTAAAAAAAGGGGACACCATGCTAGGGAAATGTTGTTTCATTAAAAAGCGTGAAGCAAGGAAAGTATATGATGCTTCTCTACAAAGCAATCTTGCTCACTTTTACTAATGGGGCATTCCCTCGATGACGCTAGGGACAATCAAAGAATCTGTTTTGTTGACCGCCTTAATCTGATCACTTTGCTTTTGCTTATATGCTAATGTAAGCTTTAGTTCATTGATTTATTTGTGTTGCTAGACTTGGTTCTTTTTACTATCACAGCTCCATCGTCATACCATTCACATTTATTACTCCCTCCATTCGCAAATATAAAGATGTTTTAAATATTTCAGTATGAACGAAATACGGATTGAAATGAGTGAATAAACACATTAAAATGTGTCTATATACATCTGATTTACAAAAAAAAAGTTAACATGCTATTATATTTGTGAATGGAGAGAATAAAAGTTATATCGATCGCACAAAAAAAATAGATATTGATCACGCAAGAAACTATTGCATTCAACACTTGAGTAGCTATTAAAATTGCATCATTGACTTCTCTATGGTAGACCCTCCCTCCAACCAACAAGTGGGCCGGTTTTGTAGTCTTCCTATAGCGGTAACGATAATGACTTACATGTGCGTCAACCAAAGCGGCATTTGCAAGTGTTTTCTAGACCAGTGGCCATCGCTGTTCATGAGTGTCAAAAGGGAGGCGACCCAAATGACTTCTCCATGGCCTCCCCACTGACCCACACGAGAAAACTGCACAGCACGGAAACCCAGGGACGAGACCCCACCCTCCACGAGCGTGCCACGAAGCTTCACCGAGCTCCAGCCTCCACCCGCCCCCACATGGCATACCGATACCGCAGGCCCGGAGACGAACCCCCCTGGTGGGTCCCGCGTGTCATACAAACCAGTAAACTGTCGGTAGTCTGTGTCAGGCTCAGTGGCTCGCCCTCCCCTCGCGTCGTCGCCCCCCTTCAACAAAAGCCCTACCCTCGATCTCTGCTCTAGAGAAGCTTCTCCCTCCACTCCACCCCCACCCCCACCCCCACCCCATTGCCACCCCCCGGGATCCCACCTCGCGCCGCCCACCACTTAGCCGCATTCCGCGCCGCGGCAGGGCAGCCGCGCATTGCTCGGCGCACGTCGTCGTCCGAAGAGCCTGATCTCGCCTCGGATCTGACCCGGCCAGGCCGCGGGCCCGGAGGCAGCGGCGGGATGGCGCAGCCGCGGGGCGGGGCCGCGGCGGTGCGGCTGCCGGCGATGAACGCGCTGGAGATCCTGCGGGAGACGGTGCGCGTGCTGCGCGCCGACCCGCACGCCTTCACCTACGTGCTCTTCCTCCTGCTCTGCCCGGCCTCCGGCTTCCTCCTCCTGTCCGCCGCCGCGCTCGAGGGCGCCGTCGTGCTGCCGCTCGCGCGCCGCCTCCTCGTCGCCGCCGCGTCCTCGGGGGTCCCCGTCACGCATTTCGTCAAGCAGCTCGCGCACCACCTCGCCGCCACGCTCGTCGCGGCCGTCGTCTCCTTCCCGGCGCTCCTCACGCTCCTCCTCGCTGCCCGGGCCGCCGTCGCCTACACCGTGGCGGCCGTGTACGCCGGCAAGCCCCTCCCGGCCGCGGACCTCTCCCTCCTCGCGCGCCGCGCGTGGCCGCGCCTCGCAGCCACCTACGGCCTCTCGTGCGCCGCCGTCGCCGCCTGCCTCGCCGCCTTCCTCGCCCTCCTCGTCACCGTCTGCTCCACGCTCAAGTCCATGCTCTACCCGCCGGACATTGTCGTCTGCGCCGGCCTCCTCACGGTCCTTGCGTTCTCCATCGTGTACGCGCACACCATCATAGTGTGCAGCCTCGGCGGAGTCATTGCCGTTCTCGAGGACGTAGCCGGGGTCAATGCGCTGCGCCGGTCGGTGCAGCTGATGCGCGGCCAAACCCATGTCGGTCTGCTCATCTTTCTTGTGTCCACCATTGGTCTGGCCTTCGTCGAGGGGCTGTTTGAGCACAGGGTGAAGACCTTGAGTTATGGGGATGGCTCATCTCGGCTCTGGGAGGGGCCATTGCTGATCCTCATGTACTCTTTCGTGATGCTGATAGATTCGATGATGAGTGCGGTGTTCTACTTCACTTGCCGATCATCGAGCTTGGCAATTCTGGATGAGGAGGGCGGCTCAGTCGAGGAGATTGAGATGATGATGGATGACAAGTCAGATGCAGTGAGGTGATTAAGAAGATTATAGGTTTCTTTCTCAAGGTGTATCTGTTCATATTCTGGTGGGAAATAAGTGAGGTGGGCAACATCCGGTTTTTGCCAAGATTGAAGGGTGTGGTCGTGTCACCATGATTACACGCTTAATGTGCCACGATCGATTCATGTTCATGGTGATAGAATCCTTTTGCAGTCATTTGGGGTTCTTCGAGGCTCATGTAATGGCGCGGATGCAAAAGAGAAGACCGGGGAAAACTTAGATTTGGTGTATTCTTGATCTGTCTCAGCGGTGATTCGAGGGCTGGCAATGTGTGTAGCATTCTTTTGAAACGATGTAACTAGTATATCAATTCAATTGTTGTGGATTTTTGTCACCTCAACACATTTTTGGCTATACGGAAGGGAACATATTGTAATAGCAAGGTACTGATGGCTCTGAAACCTGATTCATGAATTTGCACTCTATCCAAATTTATTTTACAGTGAACTTCAAGTCTGTCTTCTAAACGATGCTTGTTGTTAACCACATAAGATATGGATTTCATTCTTATTTTGTTGGCCTATTCTTCAACTGCAGAAGTCTGATGTGCCAACATTACAGATCACTGCCATGTAAGCGCCTTTGAGCTTGAGACATGGTTAATTATTCTCCTTGCATCAGAATTGGAGTTCTCCATTTGCTTTGCTGGACTCTAGAAAACCCAGGTTCAAGAAAAATGTCCATGATGATTCTTGTGTTCTATTTTCATTGTTTAGTAAAAACTTTGTCAACTCTCAAGCTTAGATTGTGCATATGAAGCATCTTTTATCTTGTTTATTTACTAACGATGCTTTCTCGAGGCGGTACTTGAACTGATAACCGCTGTTTTTATATGACAGATGTACTCCTTTTCCAACCTTAGATCATGAACACGGTATATTGACTTCCATTTAGTACTACTGGATTGCATTATTCCCAAGATAAACTTGTGGTAGTATTCGTTGAATCAGGCGATTATATTTAGCAGAGAACCAAATGAAGCAAGACTGCAAGATTCAGCTTCGTGTCTGCCACCTGTCGAGTGGATGCTTCGCACCGACAGCTGCACTGCATTTTTGCCTCAAAATGACTGTAAAACATTTGAATAATTCCCCTTTTTTTTTGCCTGTGCAAGGCAATTTATAAATTGAAACAAACATACATCAGAGGTGCAATTTCACTGAACTGAAGAAATGTATCAGAGAGTTAGCCTGAAAACCCCTCATTTTCTTCCCCATTTTCTTTAAGAATCTAGGTTCTGAATCTGACCAATCACAAGCTTGCAACGCTGACGTGCTAGGGCTTGGTAGCATAATTTGATTTCCACTAACCAAAGCAGAATTGACTCAATTAGCTGACCTTATCTCATGTGCCGTCCAATATGACAGTATTTGTTATTTAGTCTCAGATCTACTTAGTGTGTCGGACACGTTTGACTTGCTTGTGACTAAAGGGTTAATCAGAGTACTTATATCAGGACGTTGTCAGATGGTACTTAACATGGGCTGCTAAATATGATTCAGAGGACTGAATCTGCACGGCCGTACCATTTCTTATAATGCTTAAGGCACCCTAGTTGACAACTATGCCATTGTTTTCCTCACACGCCACGTGGCAGGAAGCTACCAAGTCAACTTCAGCAATGGTTACTCTAAAGATGTAATAAGAGCAGTTTCGAACCAACAAACCGAGGCCCTAATAGATACTGAAGATATCAACATCTTTGAAATTGTCATCTCACAGCAAAAGCTACAAGCACTTGAGCACTCGGTGAAACGAAACAATTCTACATTCCCTACCTTACCGAATTCCAAAAATGCATAGCTGAGACAACAGGTTTCGAAACTACGGAACAGGAGGTGGCGTCAAACAAGTTAGGACACGATGCGGGCCATTTACATTCTTGGGTCTGAAGGAAGCTGAGCATGGAAAGTCTAAGGCAATCTGTTCTTCTGCACAAGGGCGCCCGACGAGGGAACACCCTGATCGGTGCTGAGGATGATGCTTGCCCAGTTGGAGGAGCGGTGCACTATCCTTGACGGGATGCGATCGCTGTCTTCACCGCCTGATGCTTCGTACCCGTCACTGGTTGATCTAGACAGCTGAATGCCATGATGTGGAGTGCTTCCCGGGGCAGTGAGAGCTACCAGCTGCAAGTCTTCAGCTGCGGACGAGGAGACACCTGAGAATCGGTACAGGTGCAGATCAGGCGAATCCAAACTGCTATCTGGAGACGAGCCATCGATGTTGGCGGAGGATGCGGCTCTACTTGGATGAAAAGCACTTCGCGCCTCAAGCTGCAACGGTGCTAAACTGATCATGTCACTGCCATTACTGTCGATGGCATCTGAGGATATTTTTGCAACAGGTTTAAGAGAGAGATCACCATGGGGCCTTCCTCTCCTATTTGTTCTCATTGTGTTATCAGATCCCAGATCAATCCTGCTGCTCATGCCTCCATAGCTACTGTCTGTTTCATGACCGAGTGAGTACTCGTCTCTTCTGATGGGCACTAAAACCTTGGACTTCTTCCTTGCTTCGGCAGCAACTCGAGAAACTTCTTCTGCATTAAGACGAGCCAGTGCCCATGGACTAATTTTCACAGCCCCTGAGGTTTTCTTCCTCCTTACTTCTTCGTCTTTTCTCTTGGTAGCGGAGTTATGTGAAGAGCCAGCCTCTGATGGAATAACGTCAAACTGCAAAGGAGTTTGAGTAGCTTCAGATTATTTGTGAGCTGATGGGAAAATGCTGATGCAGAAAAGGTCATATACATCTATCTACTATAACCATGTGTGTGGAACTCATGATGGCACCTAAGTGCATTCGTTGCCATTTACAAATGCAAAATTATAACAGGTCAAGAAATTTCAAGATATTCCAAGTCATACCAACGATCAGCATGACTGTTTAAATAATAATCGAACAGCTATGATTACTTCACTTCACATGAGTAATTACTGAGGCTATAAATGTAACACATGATGTGCAAACAACCACCTTCACTTTTCCGGCAACAGCGCCAGTTCTAATGTTAATTTTTGTCTCGTTATTCATTAAGTTTGATGATGTAGGGTTCTCACCTGATCTTCAAGAAACAGTCTTGGAGGGGTACACCATGAACCACGACGGAGTGCACCAAAGGAACTAGTACTGCTAAGCCCACCATAGGAGCTTACATGAGACATCTGTGGACTCTGCTCCCCACTAACCTCTTCTTGTTCTTGCTCTCTCAGGGCAATGATGTAGTCGTAGGTACTGATTCCCTGCATCAAATTGACAAAATGGTACTTAGTTGTAAAATTTGAGACCACCTTGAAAGGCAAGAATACAAACTATCCATGATATCAAAATATATTTGCTAATTCAGAGAAAAACCAAGTAATCAGATCATTTTTCACTGTTTTCTTTGCAGTTTATCAGTGATATGATAACATAAAGTTATGGACCGATGATATAACAGTTGTTTGCTCAATATTTACATGCATGTTATCAAATGAATGTTCCCAGTGTCAGGCTAAGTGTCACAAGTTCACATTTTCCACAAAATATTTGAGTGAGGTAGTCTGATTAGTTGAAATATAAGCTAATCGGCAACAGCACAGGGATAGTAATGGAATCGCTAGTATAACAATGGTTACAAATATAAGATGGGTGACAGGACTTGCCTTCTTGATGAGAAGGATGTGGAAAAAGAGAAGTTGAGCAATCGGCAGTAAAGCAATCATAGCTAGGATGGTACAGGATGCCTGCGTGAACGAGGATCAATCATTTTAGTACTAATTCAAGAAAGATCGAGTAAAACACTTAGCACTTTCAACAGTGAATTAGAAAGAAGTAGGATGATTGAACATACCACCACAATGATGAAAGGCGCTATAGAGAAGCTGCTTCCTAGCTTTGACACAATCTGCATAGAGAATTCCTTTCGCTGAACAAAGCAGAGAACTAGCACCAATACTCCAGTTGTTGATTGCAGGATAAGCTGGTCCAAAGTGCACAAACCATGCAGACCTGTCAATGGTCAACTAGGATGAAAAGGACCAGGAATAAAATGCTCTCTCCAACAATGATGACCAAATTCAAATGCATAAGAACGACTGTGTTGTAGAATGCAGTTGATGCCTGGAAAATGCTTACATGATTATACTAAGATCAGAGCCATCTGCAGCATTTCTGTAAAAACAATCTACCAAAGCATGATAGAGAACATGAGCTTACCAAGAAAAGGGCTGTTGTCATTAGAAGAAAAAACCTTCTATAGTTTCTTTTTCCGATACAATTGTTGAGCCACTGTTGAGATTGAGAAATTCATGCGAGTTAATATATACTCGCTAATCGAAATAAGAAGAGAATTGCTCATGATCATATATAAAAAGAGATATATTTGTTTAGGTGTATGTTACCCGGCAGTGATGATCAAAACCGTCCACACATTTGTCACAAACTCTGCAATGCTTACTGTACTTCAACACCTACACAAAAAGCAACACGTTAAATACTAGCATACAAAAGCATACATCAACACCAGCAGGTGAAAGAAACATACTTCGACTTCACAAAGGCTGCAGAAAAACATCCCGTCTTCACTGTCGTGCTGCTCAGAGGACCATTCACGTGATCGGCAGCAGGAAAAAACAAAAGAAAGAGGGCTGAATATAAGGAGAAATGCAGAGAAAGTTGCACTGCAGCAAGATGAGCTTTTGTTCTTCAGTTCAGTCATTGACTTCTCATTAGCATCAGCAACCTCATGTCCTCTCTTTTCTCCAGTTCCCTCTAGTTGTAATCCAACATCTGAAACACCTTGTATGGACTCCTTGAGACGCCTATGCTTGCAGCCTCCATACAATCTTTGGTACTTCTTTGATTTGAAGACCCCTGGGTCTGCTGGATCCGTCGCAGCACACCAGATGTACAGAAGGAATACACATAAAACCTAAAGAAAAGATGATTACACGCTTTTATCAGGTGTTAAGTTAAACAGCTGCTTCGACCATTGCAGTGCTAAGTAAATTCAGAATCAAGTTCTGCTGAATAGATTCTTTTCTATAATAATAAAGGGTATGGCTTGATAAAATAGTCATATCACCACATATTCACAATAATTCCTAATCACAGTTTAGAATTTAACTGTAGTGAAAAGGTGTTATCAGGCAAAAAAATAGGGAAAGGTGCAGTTAGCATTAAGTGTGCTCAAAGAAGTGTATCTACGACAACCTCCAGGTGTTGAATCATGCTTTAGTGCCTTCCATCATCACAATAAATTTTCAGTTTTGTGAACTTAATCATGTAATGTATTGAAGAAAATCAGAATTCATCCAGAATCGTAAGCAGACCATGATTCCCTGATTTCTGACTGTAATATCGCATGGTTAATATTCGTCCCGAAGAACAAGAAATATACATGGTTAATCATGAAGAAAGGAAAAGTGTGCTGGCATGATGATGCATGCCACTCTGTAATACATGTATACAAATGTTAAAAAAGATGCCTGAAGACCAAAAAGGTGCCCTCATGAATATTACCAACTCATTACAGCATAGATACAACATTTTCCAAAGAACTTGGGCAGGACAATGATGTTGCTGCCACTCGGTGGGCTACAAAGAAGTAAAGAATAATGCAGGGATAGCCCATTTGCAGGATATAACATTACCTAATCCATGGAAACTCCTTTCTCAGCTTGGCATGATTATAACAAGACAGCACCGAAACCATACCATGGTATCGGAAAGATAGGACCATAAGAAACAACTAATATAATTGTAGTAAATACAACTTACATCACGCCACTCTCGATTAAACTGTTATGTTGGGATTAACCTATGGCCGGCGTGGCCCAGTTGGTTAGGACCTCAGGGTCTAGGACCTTCCAGTTTTTATGTTCTTAGGCAGGAGCCTTAGTTAATTTTGAGTATGTATTGGGCAAGAGAAAGAGTTCTATTTGTATTGCAGCCTTGCAGTACAGTCTTGTGTAGCCACCCATTATACAAGGAGGCAATCACATTGGTTTATGGAAGCTATCAACCAATAAAGTTTCCAGAAGCTATCAATCTGCTGTATATCTTCTCCCCGTTATCTTCCTGCGCATACCCATCAGCCCATAGGCTCCTCCTGGCCTAGGCTATGCCCTCGGATCAATGAACCATAACATTAAACAGAGTTACCGAAAAAGGCTTTTGCCCCGCTTTATATATAAAGCAAACCACCACAGCCACAAGGTCCAACAAAATCCTACCAACCATACAGTGTACAAATTCTGAACTGCCCAAAGGCACTGCTATACTGGATTGTGCAAAGAAGCACTACGAGTACAGAATGCATAATTCATGATTGCCCTTAATAATATGACATTGTTTGCACCGCCATCACATACAGAAACTCAGAAAGTAGCCCTCATATACCGCTCTTAACCTTGAGAAGAAAGCAAAATTTACCAACCACGAGTGCAGGACAATGACTTGCAGGGTTAGGCATGTCACATGGCAATGCCAGAATTGGCCAGAAGACTACCCTCAAAGCGAGCTTGTACCACCCTCCAACAAACAAACGAGCAAATACAGAAATTCAACCGCATATAGAGGACTGCTAAATAGCCCATTTCAAGGTGAGAACTACTACTTTGTTTGGGCACTTCCCCCAAGTTCAGCAACCACTGCCTAATGGGCCCATCATGCAGCACCAAGATTGGGATCCAAAATGTGCCAAACCACAGGGCACTCAGGCTCTCACTCATTCATTCACCCTGTCAGCAACGAAGAGGGGGCAGGCAAGAGGATAATTACCAGAGGAGTGTAGAGCCCCATGGCGGCATCCTGGAAGACCTTCCTCCCAACGAAGGGCGCGAAGAAGACGTAGAACGCGAACGCCAGCGCCACGAACACGGAAACGGCGACCACCTGCAGCACGCAAGCATCCGTCCATTGGTCCTTCGCCGCGGAAAAGAAGGGGAATGCACAAAATTTCACCGCCGGGGAGGCAAGAACAGACCTGGAGAGGGTGGTAAGGGAGCTGCCACCCATGCCGCCTCATCGCCCCGCCCCTGACAACCAGCACGGCTGAGAGAAGACGGAAGAAACGCCTGACGGAACGGAACCCTCCTTCCTTCTTCTTATTCTCGCGTCAAAGGGCGCCGCCGATCAGTGCGAGAGGGAGAAAGGACCGGCCTTTCCAGGAATCAAGAAGTCGCGCGGCCGGCCGGCGGCCGGCGCATGGATTTGATCTGTGGGTGGGGACGGGGGGGAGGAGGGGTTTGGGAGGGAGCCCGGAGGAGAGAAGGGGCATTAAATGCGGCGCTGCTCAGATTTACGGGGGGTGGAGGGGGAGCGAAGCCAAGCAAATCAAGCAGCGAGGGAGGGAAGGCTGGTTTTCTTTGGGCGCTCACGTGAAGCTAGCAGCTATAGGCCATGGGGAAGACTGTGGCAGTGGCAGGGGACTGCATGCTGGACCGGGGTGACCGACTGACTCACTGCCTGCCTGTCACTGTGGGGCTCAATAGCACGGCCGCGTTTCCCAGTGACCTTTGGTTGATAGCTGTTTGTTTCGCTCGCATCGGCGAGGACGTAACCATTTCCCTGGGATCTTTTACAGCATCTCCACCCGTTCAGCCCCAAGCGCACTCGGCGAATGCGTTTTCGCGTTTGCGTCGAGTTTCCAGCCGCGCTTCCAGATTTCGGCCTCCATACGCCCAAAAATCAAAGTTATCTTTCCCACTGCGAAAAAACGCCACAAGTTTGATGATCACCATGTTACAAGTCGGTAATCATCATGCCACACTTCGGGGATCAAACATGCCCGAAAGTTCGACGATCAAAAGGAAGGAAGCATAGACACGAAGCACATCAAACAGCGGGCTCCTCTGGCGTGGGACTGGCCGGGGTCGACATGGACGCAGACGTGCTCGGTGTCGACGTGGCTTCTGTGCTCGGGCTGTTGGTCGGCGTCGGCACCGCTTTGTCGCTCGGGCTCGGCGTCAGCGTGAGCGTAGGGGCGGTGGTCGGTGCTGGCCCGGGCATCTGGTTTAAGATGAGGCCGCGCTCCGTCAAGTACCACGCCTTGACCTGCTCATCCATCGTCGACATGTCTGCGGCCATCAAGAACGTCAGGTCGGTGTTCCTCTTCTTCGCGACGACGTCGGTCCTGAGAAGGTCGAGCTTCACGTCCTGTGTCATCAACGTCGACCACCGCGCGCTGTATTTCTCCTCCCTCTTCGCGGCGCAGTTCTTGGCGTCAGCGATGCACTGCTCGATCGATGATTGCAGCCGTTCGGCAGCGGGTGCCGCGTCCCTCGCCCTCTTGGCTCTTTTGTTGCCATCAGGGCGCCCATCCGCCGCCACGGGGGCAGGCGCATCCGGCTTGTACGTCTCCTTGGCCTTGGCGAGTGTGAGTCAGACCTCCCTCCACTTCTCGCACGACTTGATCGGGGAGAACACATGAAGGAATTTGAACTCTTGGTCGTTGTTGTCCTAGCGATACATGTTGAACATCCGAACCATCTGCGCAGCCGAAGAAAAAGTGTCGGGGACGTACATGGCGAAAGAAGTGAGCCGGCGGCTGGACATACCTGACTCTCGACGTTGGCGCCGCTTTTCGGGCGAGCCGCGACCTCCTCGACGATCCCATGCATGCCATTTGTTGCAGGGCGCCTGGATGATCGCCCAATGGTTCGCCATGGCCTTGTTGCCATGCTCCATGTGGATGGTGGCGAAGTACGGGTCGACCAGCTTGCGCTCATCGAACGTCGTCTTGATCCGTCTCTAGTACGTGTTGGCGTTCTGATTCGAGCCGGTGATCGGGTCGATGCTGACGGTCTTCCATGCTTCGGCAAGGCACCCGTCTTCCTTGGACGTCCACTTGACGCGCGGCTCGCCCGGGCTGGCATTGGCCGCCCGCTTCTTCTTTCTCCCTTTCGTCGCCGGCGCCGGCTTCGTCTCCTCCTCCACATGTTCTTCATTCCCCCCTCCTCGGCTTTGTCGAGCTCGTCGTCCCTGTCGACGGCGGTGTCCATCGTTTCGTCTTGCGCGCGGAACCCGGGCCACGAAGCGGCGACGATCGAGCCGCTCATGATGAGCTCGACGACACCAAGGAGGAGGTGTAGGAGGAAGAACAGGTGGAGCCAGAGCCAGCGGCGAAAGGGAGAAAGAAGAAGCAGGCGGCCAAAGCCAGGCCGGGTGAGCCTCACGTCAAGTGGACATCCAAGGAAGACGAGTGCCTCGCCAAAGCATCGAAGACCGTCAGCATCGACCTGATCACTGGCTCGAATCAGAACGACGACACGTACTGGAGAAGGATCAAGATGACGTTCGACGAGCGCAAGTTGGTCGGCCCCGACTTCGCCAACATCCACATGGATCACGGCGATAAGGCCATGGCGAACCATTTGGCGACCATTCAGGCGGCCTGTAACAAGTGGCATGGGATCCTAGAGGAGGTCGCGGCTCGTCCGAAAAGCGGCGCCAATGTCGAGGGTCATGTTTGGCCAGTCGTCGTCTCAGTTCTTTTGCTGTGTACTTAGCTGACACTTGTTTTTTGGTTGTGCAAATGGTTCGGATGTTCAACATGTTTCGCTAGGACAACATCGACCAAGAGTTCAAGTTCCTTCAGGTGTTCTCCAGGATCGAGTCATGCGAGAAGTGGAGGGAGTGTCGGCTCGCTCTCACCAAGGCAAGGAGACCTACAAGCTGGACGCGCCTGCCCCGGCGGGGGCAGAAGGGCGCCCTGATGGCAACAAAAGAGCCAACGTGGCAAGGGACGCGGCACCAGTTGTCGAACGGCTGCAATCATCGATCGAGCAGTGCATCGCCGATGCCAAGAACAGCGCCTCCAAGAGGGCGGAGAAATCCGACACTAGGTATGTTTGATCGCCGACCTGTTCTGCTTCTATCTCCCAACAACGCTGCCACTTTTTGGGTATGTTTGATCGTTGACCTATGGCATGATGATCACCAAACCTGTGGCGTTTATTGGCAGCGGGAAAGACAAGTTCAATTTTTTTGGGGCGTCTGGGGTGCCTAAACCTTGGGGCACGGCTAGAAACTCGATCGCCCCCATGGTGAAAAAAACCGCTGGCGCAAACGCCAAGAGGCATTCGCCGGGTGCGCTGGGGGTCCAAACGGCTGGAGATGCTATTAGGTTTAGAGTATTCCTCAAGCCCTTTTTTTTGGCTTAAGCAACCCTAATATACTCTCATAATATACGATTTTTGACACTATACTACACTAGTGTCAAGAACACTCTTATATTACGGGACGGAGGAAGTAGTTGCCATATTTGGCCGATCACCATAATAATCGTCAATAGGGTGATTTTAGGTCAAAATGGCACTCTAGCGGAGTTGTCATTCGACTATGAATTGTCATAACTTATGGAGCGCGCTCCATATCAAGTTCGTGAGACTATATTTGAAGGATGGAGGTGTTGGTCTGGAGTGCTCTTCATCCATCAACCGCTCACTTGGGAGGGAAGTTTCACCTTCCTCCTAATGACCCACAAGTATAGGGGATCAATCGTAGTCCTTTCGATAAGTAAGAGTGTCGAACTCAACGAGGAGCAGAAGGAAATGACAAGTAGTTTTCAATAAGGTATTTTCTGCAAGAACTGAAATAGTCGGTAACAGGTGGTTTGATAGCAAGAAATGAGCAAGTTACGATAACGGTAAGTAACGTGCAGCAAGGTAGTCCAATCCTTTTGTGGTCAAGGACATGCCAAAGCGGTCTCTTATAATAGGCAAAGAGTTCTTGAGGGTACACGGGAATTTCATCTAGTCACTTTCATCATGTTGGTTTGATTCATGTTCGCTACTTTGATAATTTGATATGTGGGTGGACCGGTGCTTAGGTGTTGTTCTTACTTGAACAAACCTCCTACTTATGATTAACCCCCTCGCAAGCATCCTCAACTACGAGAAAAGTATTAAGATAAAATCTAACCATAGCATTAAACTTTTGGATCCAAATCGGACCCTTACGAAGTAGCGCATAAACTAGGGTTTAAGCTTCTGTCACTCTAGCAACCCATCATCTAATAACTGCTCCACAATACATTCCCTTAGGCCCAAAGATGATGAAGTGCCATGTAGTCAACATTCACATGACACCACTAAGGGAAGCACAACATACATATCATCAAAATATCGAACACATATCAAGTTCACATGATTACTTGCAACAAGATTTCTCCCGTGACCTCAAGAACAAAAGTAACTACTCACAACTGATAATCACGCTCAACATCAGAGGGGTATTAAATATCATAATGGATCTGAACATATAATCTTCCACCAAATAAACCATATAGTAATCAACTACAAGATGTAATCAACACTACTAGTCACCCGCAGGTACCAATCTGAGGTTCCGGTACAAAGATTGAACACAAGAGATGAACCAGGGTTTGAGAGGAGATGGTTTTATTGAAGATGTTGATGGAGATTGGCCTCCCAAAGATGAGAGGGTGGTTGGTGATGACGATGGCTTTGATTTCCCACTCCAGGAGGGAAGTTCCCCCAGCGGAATCGCTCCGCCAGAGGGCAAAAATGCTCCTGCCCAAGTTCTGCAGCGAGACGGCGGCGCTCTATCCTAAAAGTACTCCCCTTATTTTTTCTAGATCAAAATGACCTATATACCAAAAGATGGGCACCGGAGGTGGGCTGGGCTAAGCACAACCCACCAGGGCGCACCGTGGTGTCTTGTGCTCACCAGGTGCCCCCCTCCGGTAGTTATTTGCTCCAGTATTTTTTTTATTCCAAAATAATTCTTCATAAATTTTCAGCTCGTTTGGAGATGTGTAGAATAGGTAACTTTGACATAGCTTTTTCAGGTCCAGAATTCTAGCTACCGACATTCTCCCTCTTTGTGTAAACCTTGCATATTATGAGAGAAAAGGCATTAGAATTACTCCATAAAGCATTATTATGCATAAAAACATTGTAAATAACAATAGGAAAACATGATGCAAAATGGACGTAGCAACTCCCCCAAGTTTAGACCTCGCTTGTCCTCAAGCGAAAAACCGATATCGAAAAACATGCCCAC